TAGTTTACTTATTTTATGTGGTTAAGCAAAGTTAACTGTATTCTTCTCAGAAGAAAGTTATTTTTTTTAAATGGATTAAACTTAAAGGAAATATTAGTAGGATTTTATGCCTGCAAAAGCAGCAATATTTGTCAAACTTGATGGGTTTTTAAAAATTTAATTTTAGCATTCATTATTTGAAAAGACTGTTAAAAATGATTTGGCCGATAAGAATTAAACATTCTTTCTTCTTTAGGTGACGATGTATTGGTGAGAATTAAATTAGAGTTAAGTATTAGAGAATTTGGAGAATAAAGTTCATTTAAGAGCAGTCTCTCACAGATCAAGTACTGATGGACCCAGTGACTTGCTCAGTGACCAAAATGGAATAAAATCCAACTTTCCTGATTTCCAGTTTGTCTGTGCAGATGTAGAAGTCATAAAATGTGTGACTTTTCTACCTCTAAATTCAAGTGATTTCAGCAGACATGCTCTTCATTTTCTCCAGCTTTCACTGCATACAGTTACTTCTTTAAGGAATTTTTTAAAATGTTTATTTATTTTTGAGACAGAGAGAGACAGAGAGTGGGAGAGGGGCAGAAAGAGAGGGAGACACAGAATGTGAAGCAGGCTCCAGGCTCTGAGCTGTCAGCACAGAGCCCGATGCGGGGCTCGAACTCATGAACTGTGTGACATCATGACCTGAACCAAAGTCGGATGCTTAACTGACTGAGCCACCCAGTCGCGACCTCCTCCCCTGCCCCCCGCCTTTCTTTTAAGGAATTTTTTTTTAATGTTTCCTAGTTAGTTCTATACCTTGTTCCTCCTGTACACCAGCTCTCCAATGGAATGCTTGTAGATATTTTTAGAAATTCAGCCTGATATTATTCTAAGAAAACTTCAAATGTTAATGTGATTAATTTCAAATAATTAAACAATTGAAACTTTCCTATGATTTTGCAAGTTTTTATTATTAATGATACTTAAAGTTTTGCATGTTTTGGAAAGAGCGAATTGTCCTAGTCATAGCTCTCAGTAGAATTTACTAGTGCCATTGTTTCCTCAAGATTTTTTTTAAAGTTCTGGTTAGTTAACAGACCGTGTAATATTAGTTTATTAGTGCTGTTCTGAAGATGATCACTTACTGTTCTATGTTAAAACTAGAATGTGCCGTGTATATGTGCGCATATGCAAGGGAGTGTATGTGTTTATGCGGGAGTGTGCATGGGCCTGTGTTTTATCTTTTGTCATTTAGTGTGAGTATGTCTGCTCATATATGTTTCTGTTGTGTTTGCATGGACCCTTTACTTTTTTTTCCCCTACAGACAAGGAAGCTTTCTGCAAAGAGAAAATTTTTATTTTTGAATCTTGCAAGAATTTGATACAGGTTACCACTTCAGTTCCATCCAGTATGTATTATTCATAGACTGATGGCTTCTGATAGTCTCAGAGATACTCTGAAGGCCTCTGATGGGAAAATGCCACCTCCTTTTTTCCTAATAATGGACCTTTCCTTTATCTAACATGAAGGAATGGAAAGCAGATACGTCCATTCCAAAGAAGGAGGCTAATTTCCATCTGCAGAAAATAAATGTTTTATTTCTACTCAACAAAACATTTGTTTCTCTCACTAATAAAAACTATTTTTAAATTTTTGTGCCTACAGTATGAAACTACTGGAAAATTGCAAATAAGTTGATAGAATTCTCAATTATTAAATTTGTTATGCAGATATTCTGAGAAATATTTAAAAACCCCATTCTCCTCCCTTCTCTCTTTTGGATTTTCCTTGTTCAACATATTTGTACTTTGTGTGTCCTAGGAGGAGAAAAGGAAAGTGAAATATAATCATGTGTGCTAATAGTTTGTATCTCTAGTTTGATGACTTCCATATATAAGAAGTCCAGAATATATTTGTGCAATTTGTCTTTTACGATGCTATTTCTTATGAACAGATAATCAGATATTACATTCACTTTAATTAGAAGAGTTTATTTACTTCTATTGAAACAACTGTTTTTAAAATAAGCACACTGTATGCACTACTCCCTAGATAACAACATTAATTTAAATAAATAGCTTTCTTTGTCTCTCCAGTGTAAATTGTGTGCATAATTTTAAGTATTCCAATATTAACTGAAAATTTCTCCTTTCATTTGATTATTTGACACATGGAGGCACAGTTTTCTATGCTACTTTGCTGGGCATGATAACTTTACTGCTTTTAGTTGCTGTTTTGATTTTGATTAGTCTAGTTTTGAATTTTAGCTCAACTCTA